TTTTTCTCTGGGGCGGTTCCCCCCTGATGCAATCTTCCCCGTGGCCTGCAATTTATTAAAATATATTTACCTTCTTCTCCTGCCAATATTTGGAAATGTTGTAACTTCTCTCGCAAGGTGCCCTCCAGATATACCCTTGTTCATTTCTCCTAATTTCCCTAATCCTAGTTCAGAATTTTAAGACCTCACCTACGGAAGAGGGAATTTTTTTTTAAAATAAGTCCCTTTGATTTCACCCTCTTTTTTTAAAAAAAAATCTGGTTTTTGTGATTAATGCGATGAAACGTGTCATTCCGGCTTCGTTTGAATATTGCACCTCACCTAAGGCGAATCTTTCGGGAAGACAAAGACGCTCCTCAGAAGCGGCTGGAAAATTGATGGGATTAGCAGAGAGGACTAAATTGACCATTTTGATAAAAGAAAAGAATAGAAGTACTTTGGTTTCTGCTTGGAAACTGATTCTGGACTTTGTGCTTGAGGTGGACAAAAAAAACGACACTCTGATTTTGGGTTTTACTGATTAGATGGATTTGTGGATATAGAAATATAGACTAAAACATATGAAGAACGGCTGTGGGACTTGGGTCTAGCTAGTCTAAAGAAAAGAAGAAATAGGGGAGGCATGATAGCAGCGTTCCAGTATTTGAGGGGCTGCCACAAAGACGAGGGGGTCATGTTCTTGTCCAAAGCACCAGAGGGAAGGATGAGAAACAATGGTTGGAAACTGGTCAAGGAGAGAAGCAACCTGGAATTAAGGAGAAACTTCCTGACAGTGAGGACAATTAACCAGTGGAACAGCTTGCCTCCAGAAATCGTGGGCGCTCCATCATTGGAAGTTTTTAAGAAGAGACTGGACAGCCATTTGTTTGGAATGGTATAGGGCTGGGGTAGGCAACCTTGGCTCTTTTATGACTCGTGGACTTCAACTCCCAGAATTCCTGAGCCAGCCATGCTGAGGGGAAAGGGAGAGGTTTCCAAGCTGAGCCATGCTGGCTCAGGAATTCTGCCACAAGTCATAAAAGAGCCAAGGTTGCTTACCCCTGGTATAGGGTCTGCTGCTTGAGCAGGGGGCTGGACTAGAAGACCTCCAAGGTCCCTTCCAGTTCTATTCTATTCTATATTCTATATTCTATATTCTATATTCTATATTCTATATTTTATATTCTATATTCTATATTCTATATTCTATTTTAATCTGTTCTATATTCTATTCTATTCTATATTCTATATTCTATTTTATTCTATTCTATTCTGTTCTATTTTCTATTCTATTCTATTTTATATTCTATATTCTATTCTATTCTATTCTATTTTATATTCTATATTCTATTCTATTCTATTCTATTCTATTCTGTTCTATTTTCTATTCTATTCTATTTTATATTCTATATTCTATTCTATTCTATTCTATTTTATATTCTATATTCTATTCTATTCTATTCTATTCGGTTCTGTGCTGTTCTGTTCTGTTCTGTTCTACTTTCTATTCTATATTCTATTCTATTCTATTCTATTCTACTCTATATTCTATTCTATTTTCTATTCTATTTTCTATTCTATTCTAAATGGCTAGTTCATACTACTATAGAAATGTGAAAAGTTGAGATTATTTTTGCTTTGCTCTTGATTTGCAGATAACTGGCTGGGCCCAGGCGTGCACAAATTTGATTTTGACTTCGTCTTACCTCCGAGGATCCCATCAACTTTCACCAGCCGTGTGGGGAAAATTAGCTACTTCCTCCAAGCACTCTGTGCCACGCGAGAACTTATCCTTCGCAAGCAGAAAAAGTATATTTTGGTTCAAGGGACTTCCCTGTACAGCCAGGACACAGTGCAGTCCAAGGTATAGGGAGTCCTCGATTTACAACCGTTCATTTAGCGACCGAAGTTACAATGACACTGAAACAAGTGACCGATGACCCTTTTTCACACTTACAACCCTTGCAGCCTCCCCAGGGTCACGTGATCAAAATTCAGATGCTGGGCCACCGACTCGTATTTATGACGGTCGCTGTATCCCCGGGGAGGGGCACGCGATTCTCTTTTGCGGCCCTCTGACAGGCCAAGTTCACGGGGGAAGCCGGATTCTCTTCACAACAGTGTTACTAATTTAACAACTGCAGTGATTCATTTAACGACGGTGGCAAGAAAAGGTCGTAAAAGGGGGCAAAAAAAATCACTTAACAGATGTCTCGCTTAGCAACGGAAATTTTGGGCTCGCTTCTGGTTGTAAGGTGTAATTTAAAGTAGAACGGCCTTCTTTGAATCGGGGCCCCCAGATATAGAGATAGTCCTCAATTTACAATAAGAGTTGGGACCTGAATTTCCATTGCTAAGCCAGGCCTGGTTTTACAACCTTTTTGATATGGTTGTTAAGCGAATCCCTACAGTTCTTAAGTAAATTACATGGTCGTTAAGCGAATCCAGTTTTCCCCATTTATTTATTTATTTATTTATTTATTTATTTATTTATTTATTTATTTATTTATTTTTAAACTTATATGCCGCCCTTCTCCCCACGGGACTCAGGGCGGCTCACAGCATGTTAAAACAATATAAAACATTTCCCCTATAAAAGCCAATTAAAAACCAAATATTTATAGCTGTGTCTTATTAAAATCATTAAAATTGTCCCTATTTAAAATTCACCCTAGGTCAGTCC